AAAAAAAAAAGACACTACTCAGTGACATTTGTCAGTTGTTTGAATCTCACCATGATTATCGGTTCTCTCAAGTCTTTCTCATCACCACCTACTAGAAGTGGCCGCCTCCTTGTTGGCACTCTTCTCTTATTGTTATTGTTCTCTCTTGTGATCTCTTGCTCTGCAAAACGAGATGTTTCTGTTCGTCATCGTCGAGGTGGTGGACTCGAGTTGATTGTGAATGTCAATGTGAATGGTAAGAGGTCTTCCCCATTCTCTTCATCAAAATCAGCTGAAGAAAGTACTCCAGCAACAAATTCTCAACAAGAAGAATCCTCTTTCGTGAGTTCATCCGAAGAGTCGAACAAACAAGAAATTACTCCTCAAGAAAATACTTCCCAAGAAATTCCTTTGGACAAAACCACACAAGAAATTGCTTCTCAAGTTCATGACGTTGTTTCGAAAAAGATGGCCACAGAAGTTGCTGAAAACTTGTTGAAATTTGCTGGTGAAGTGAAAAAGGTGTGTATTGTTTTTTACATGCAAGTACTAACTAACTTTTGAAATGATGCCACTTGTTATTTTCCTATTCATCATGATAATAATTAGATCTACGACGCCATTCCAAATTCAGGACTCACCCAAGAACAACAAGAATTTAAAACTCAACTTCTTGCCATGATTCGTGACTTCACCAGCAAAGCTTCGAATCCAAGTGCTGAATTTATGGTTTCTTCTCTCAAATATTTGAATGCTGCAAAGAAACTAAGTCCACCTTCTGTCAATTTAGAAACCAATGATGACAACAAGAAGGAAGCCAAAACATTATTCATTCTTCCAGCAATTGGAATTGTCAGTGATGTCATGAACTTTGTGGATGGCATTGGTACTTATTCGAGTTCCATTTCCAAAGAAGGAAAGTGGTTGGAGGATCTAGCTTCAGAGAAATTGCAAAAGTGGGGATTCCAGAGAGCTGCCAATGCTGCAAAAAGTATTGGAACAAGTATTTCTAATTTTTCTGAAAAAAAGTTGGGACGTATTGAGGAAAGGGTGGCCAAGAAGATTGCTCCATTTGTTAAATCCAAATGTAAGTAGAAAGTTGTTGTGAGAGTGTTCATGAGAATTGTGAAATGGTTGACATGAAATTGTTCTTTGTGTGTTTGTGAAATGCTTGATGTGAAAATGATGAATTTGAAAACTATACAACATCATTATTGGCAATGATGGTGTGTTTAGCATACCTCGCTTTAAAGAGAAGTATTAACTTGGTGGCTAGTGAGACTGGTCTTCATGGAGTGGCTAAATCGATTGGTAGTTTGATTCCAGCAAAACTTCCAAGAAATTTCAAAGAATTGAAGTCTACCTTGACCAACATAACCAAACTCGTCAAGGACCGAAGAGCTATCATGCAAGGCATTCGAAATGCTGCGAAAGGGTTGAAGACTTCCTTAATTTCCAAACTTCGCACTGCTCGCTCCACACGTAGTGCCATTAGAGATGTGAAATCTGGAATGGAATTGTTAAAGAGAAAGAGAAGTTCTCAAAGAAGACGACAACAACGTAGTGCTGCAGTTCGTGGTAGTGGCACTTCTTCCAGTCGTCGACAAGGAAATTCCTCGAATCGAAGAGTCAACAGAAGACAAGCCAAAGGAAATAATAGAAATGGCGCTCGTTCAAATGGAAGAAGATTGCCCACTTCACGACAACGTTCGACATCATCCTCTTCCAATGGTAGAAGTAGTGGCATGAGGCGTTCATCATCCAACAATAGAAGTAGCAACAATAGACGAAGAAGTAGTTCATCTCCAAAAAGAGGATAAGCACTTTCAGTTTAAAAATGGTTCGTCATGCATGCAATATCACTGTTACAATAAAGGTCATGTAGAAACTGACAACATGCAACCATAACAATGTAAATATTATATTTTTCATGTGGAATTTACAAAACACTAAGGATTTGAAAGTAACATCATGAATGCATCTTTTCAATTTAATAGGTAATTGGTATAGAAATTTCATCATATTCATTGTTCTAATCACATAACACAACTACTCATTGATTCCAAAAAGTCTCCTTTTGTGGAAACTTGGCAATTTAGCAAGAACCACAATAAGGGTAAAAACAAAATTTACAAACAATAAGAGAAGACTATCTCCTACATGCCAAGAAGTCAGCAATAACAACACACATGGAATGGCAAACATGAATTTACGTGTTGGTGTGAATTGCTTTTGATTATCTAATTGTTCCCAAAAAGTCAATTTAGATTGGTCTTGTAAATGAATAGAAAGGTCATACGGAGAGCCTTTCTTCCAATGGAAAAGAATCAATGTGCAAATGGAATGAAGACAATTCAAGGCTGTCCAAATAATGGCATTGACCGATGAATCTAAATGATGTGTTATTTGTGATGATGAGGAATGACATTTTCATCATCGAATCATCCGAAAGAGAATAACAATATTTTCGTGTCATTATCCATTCCAACGTAATTATCGGCCAATTTTAAAATTTTCATCATCATAAATTACATAAATTCCGATTCAATAATTTCATTTAAATCGACATTATTTAAATCACATTGTTATCCAAAATAGAACACGTTAGCTATAGTCAGGAGAAACAAAACGTACCACTCAAATACGAAATGGTCTTGCTATAAATTAAACATCCCAAAAACAAAGCCCAATAACTCAAAAACAAGACAAGAACATAAATAAACCAAGCAGCCTTGTCATTAAATGGTTGTGTATTAAAATTGGTGCTCACAACCTCTCCCGAGCTCGTGTCAGCAATATTGAGAAACGATTGAGACTCGGAACGAGACATTTTGAGTGTTGGAGTTGTTGTTGGATGTTGGAAATGATCCCCATGTTGCTGAGAGGAAGATGTTGATTTATTCGAAGTATCAAGGGGTGTTAGAGTCTTTCTCATTTGTTATTGATTAATAATTGATCAAAACTTGGAGATATGATGAAATGTTGAGAGTAATCAATCGAGAGATTTTTTTTGTTGTAAAATTTAATATGAAAAATTTTTTTGATGCACCCTTAATACAAAGTGAAGCAAAAACATTAGTGTTCTCGTTTCTTATGATGAGGAAGAAGAGGAAGAGAAGGACAAATCCAACTTGATAAGGATTGTGGATATTAAATTGATGAATTTTTCAACACAAAAAATAGGTTTTGCTGTATCTTTCAACATGAGTCTGTTACGGAGCAACAACAACTATGGCAATATTACTATTCAGAACGATCATCATCATCACACCTCTTTTGATGAATCATCGGTTCAATTCTTGAATGATTACAAAATAGAATTGATGAATCGAGAGGAAGATGAATTAATTTCCGAAATTCAACAACTCATCCTTAGAGTGTTTCCCGATGAATCGAAGGTACAGATTCAAAGACAAACCGGAGGCAACACGAATCGATTGTACAAGGTGAAACTCGGCTCGGATCATACAAACATCGTCCTCGTTCGAATTAATGGCTTAGAAACTGAAAGACTGATTGACCGAAAGAAGGAATTACATCACATGATCGAATTAGGAAAGAGAGGAGTAGGATCTCGGGTTTATGCTGCTTTTCAAAATGGATTTATTTATGAGTATGTGGAAGGAACCGTTTTGAAGAATGCTGCAGATGCTAGCAAGTATTGCAAGGAGATTGCTCGCAAGTTAGCCGAGTGGCACAAATTGAGGATTAAAGACACTGAATCCAACAATCTCTCTCCTTCGTTGTTCAATAGTTTGAGGAAATGGATTGAAATTGTAAAGAATATGGAATGGAAGAACAAGGAAATTCAAGGAAAATTTGAAAAAGAAGTTGATTTTCAGAGAATTTGCTCAGATGTGGAAAAAATTGCCAATAACGATTATTTCATGCAGAAAGGACACGACAATAGGCAACCAATACTTGCAGATCCAACAAATCTGAGTCAAGTGATTGATCCTTTTACGATTGGATTTTGCCACAATGACCTTGTGATTTTAAACATTATTGCCAGCAGTGCCACGAATACTTCCAAAGTGCAATTCATTGATTGCGAGTATTGTGGATACAACTATAGAGGTTTCGACATTGGAAATCACTTTAACGAATATTGTGGATTTGAAATGGATGAAACTCTCTTTCCATCTCGAGACACTCAAGAAACATTTGTTCGAGAATATTTAAAATCCTTCATTGACCCCGCCCATTCTCACGAAATAACTCAACAACATGTGAAGCTGTTTCTCAAATCCATTCCACTCTTCTGCAAATTGTCACATTTATATTGGGCTCTCTGGGGAATTATTCAGAGTAATGTATCAAATTTGGAATTTGACTTTCTCTCGTATGCGAAAGGTCGGTTAGAGTGGTACAAAAGAATGGAATAGCAGAAAATACACCAAGGACTCAATTTCAAACGAGAAGTACTATATCACTAGATGCTGTGTTGAGAACAACTGTCATCTTTGAAGTTTTTGCCAATGTTCCATATTTGGGTAAAAACACTGTTGGACACAAAAGGAAAATTTTATTTGAAATTTCTAACAAACAAAAGGCTTGATTGACCTGTCAACAACCTTGGTTGTATTCTACTTCCACCACAACAACCACGATAAACACTACATATCGATTTACAGAATTGGATCTTCATAGTTTTGCCTCATACAATGAATCACTCCAATGGTAATAATAAGAATTCCAATGTTCTCTTTCAATCCGTAATATCGGATAAGCATCATGAGGAGAGTTTGGATCTTCATCATCATCACGAAAGTCCATATTTACCAGCAGCACAGCATCGTCATCAGGCGGATGAGTCAAAACAAGACCTATTTTCCTCACCAAGTAACCTCTACATGAATCATCATGGTCTTCAACTGATGAATAGTTTACCATCCAATTTTGCCATTGGAACGGCTGCCGCAGTTTTTGGAAGAACACTCTCAATACCTTTTCAACAAACATTACCTCTATGGAGTGGTCAATCAATCACATTCGCACGATACATTTATCAAAGTGCAACAGGTTTGACTGCAGGATTTTCTTCGTGCCTTACAAAATTTGCTCCTGCTCAAGCACTTGCGTTGTCATTGCGAGACTTGTGTAAGAGTATGCTAGTGTCGACTCGAGTCATGCATGATTTACATCACGAAAATGATGCAAAGAGGCAACTCATGTTAAATATCACTTCGGGAGCGTTGGCTGGAGCAGCATCACATGTAGTTTTGCATCCTTTTGAGCATGCCCAAATGAGGTACTTTACCTATCTGAGCAAGCATCGTGTCGTGAGTCAATTTAAAGGACCAGTGCATTTTGTGGTGAGCACGAGTGGCTTTACTTCTCTTTTCAAAGGTTTTGGAATTGGATTGGTGAATGCTGTCACCAATCGAGGATTATTATTTGGAGTGTATGACTCTCTTAATGTGAATAATCCTTTCAGAAATCAATGGGACGTATATGGAATTGGCTCTAAATTACTAATTGCTCAATGTGCAACCTCAATCTCAGTTCTTTTTTCTATTCCTTTTTTAAATATCCAACGAGAAATGATTTTACAAAGCATGACAGGAAATACCTCACAAGATACCGATCGATATATGTCATCTCTTCAAACTGTAAGAACTATGATTGCTCGAAACGGCATCTCGAGCTTATTCAGAGGAGCACTAGTAGAATGTTTGGCGCGGAGGACCAGCGGAACCTTTATTCTAGTCATGTATGACTTGTTGAAAGAGATGTGGAACGAAAAAACTATTTCATTACAAAAACTTAGTCACTCTCAAGCATAAGATCTTACGAAATTAATATACACCACTAAGAGAAAGCGGTGATAGTCATTGTAATGATATGCATAACTCAGAGATATTTCTTAATTTCATAAAGAGATGACTAAGTGTGGTTGGAATTTCTATTTCGACCTGATGCCGAGAAATTAGAAAGCCAATCCCTTCTTGAAGAAATGGCCTCATACCATTGAATGCTTAATAACTCTTGTTAATTTCCATCTTAACTCTTCAAAAACGCAACTGTGAAACAGCCCGATAATAATCTCATGCAAAGGAAACACCTCACCTCACCACACAGTGCCAAGAAGAACATTGCAGAATTCCTTTGGCTCATTTATGACAAAAAAGATAACAAGAAGAATTCTTCAGATTCACGGGAAACCCTCTATCGAAACAGAAGCAAGATCAATTGGTAAAGAAGGTAACATATTTATTTACAAGATATTACCATTCTTTGACGAATTTGGTTGTGACAAGTATTGGCATTCTAGTAAACCATGCCTCAAAACTGCCTTCGAAGTATCAGGAGTGAGAAACTCTTTCAAAATTACTTCTTCTCATATTCCTCCTTCTTTGGAATATACTTGTCAATAGGAGTACATTTAGTTTCATGCTCAACGCACTTGGTGTATTCTCCATGTTTAGCACAGTGTAATTTACCACCAACGAATCGGTACTTCTTACAAACTCTGATACCTTTAGATGTAACAGCACAATTCCTCCAGTGCTTTCTCTTCTTACAGTGACGCTTGGTCTTGTGATGTTGAGTACAGAATGGAACTGCCTTATAATGAGCACAGAATCTTCTATGTCTATGCATCTTACAATATCTAACTCTCTTATGAACGTTACAGAATTTGGTCTTGGCCCACTTGGTACAAAAACGAGCCTTCTTTTGAGCAACGCAGAACTTCTTGAAGACAAACTTGTTGCACTTTCTGACATACTTCTTTTTACGAGCGAAACGAACGTTCTTGGTGTCAACGCAGTATCTCTTCTTGGAGAATTTCTTACAAATTGAGTGACACCTCTTGATGCAATAACCACGATAATAAGTATCATTCCATCCCTTGTAGTGTCTCTTAGTGACCTTCTTCCACTTCTTTTGGCATTTACAGACTTGTTTATAAGAGTCACATTTGGCCTTAATCTTGTATCTGATACATTTGGTCTTGTGATAATAGGATGTCTTTGGAACATTGATATAACTTGTACAGAGATGCTTCTTGTCGTATCTAGTACAAATGAAGTGATATGCATATTCGGCACAGTGATGATTCTTGCCCTTTCCAACGCATTGATGTTTCCATCCGTATTTGACGCAATATTTTTCTCTCTTGTGATATTTACAAATTTGCTTGTATCCATGACCCAAACACAATTTTCTTGGTTGACTCCAAGAAATGCACTGTGATGACAGTTGTCAAGTTGAAGAATTTGAAAGTCATTTAATTAATTCAACAATGAGCACAAGTTCACTTACCTTGCTGTGTCTCTTATACTTCAAACATTTTCCAGCACCAACAGTCTTCCAAGCACAACATTCCTTCCTGGTTCCAATCCACTCGTAATCGCTACACTTTCCTTTTTTAGTTTCATATCTTTTACATGTCTGATAGCAATACTGTTTATGTTCTCCATAAGTATCGACTGGTTTTGCATCCTCTGCCAATATGACAGCTGTTGCAAACAAAAGTACTGCGCATAACAATACAATTCTTTTGTACATTTTTTGTTTTGTTGATGAGAAGAAGTGAAGCTCTGATTCCCTGCATTTTAAAGGATTTTGGAGTCATATCAGAGTCTGCCCTAAATTGTCATTTTGTGATAGAGTGTTTACAAGAAGTAAGCAATTTTTTTTTGTCAATGTCAAATGTCAAGCCAAAGAAAATATTCTGCCTATTACGTGGTGTGTATGGGAGCTGCAACTGTCACATGTTGATCGTTGCAGAAGGAATTTCATTAACACTATCATGAACAAGTTGAGATAGAGGACTGATTCGATCTTTCAACAAATCTTTTCCCCACATGATCTACAGCATTATTCCCGCTCTGTTCTTTGTTCATGATTTACATGAACTGAAAAAATGTCTCGAGATGTCTCAATACAACAACAACAACGCAACACGTCTTTCAAAGAAACGATTTGCGAAGACATGAAGGAATCGGAGGGAGTGACATCTAAACCTCATGTTGGTGTCAATCGTATAAAAAAAACCTGTGTCTTGCCTTTCACCATTCCAGAAATAATTACATCCATTGGATGGATTTTAGCGATTACATTTTGTATTTGGTATGTGGTGAATGCATCGGGAGAGTTTCAAGATTCCCAGAATAATCCCACGACGTCTCTTTCGATTGTGGAAAAAGCTCCTTTGGAATTGCCAGCTGTCACCATTTGTAATTGGAATGCGAACTACGTTTGTGATTTTTGTAATTTAACCTTAAAAGCTGCCACCCATGTAGTGGAAGGAAATGTTGTTGAATTTGAAATACCATATGAATATAAGGAGATCGATCAAAATGGATTGTACAGATGCTATGTGTTTAATAACTTTTCGGATCGAGCGATGGCTTCGAATGCCACAGGTTATGGAGGAGTGATTTCATTGTTTTTTGATGTTCCTTCTGTTCCAGAAGAACGTGACGCGAGATTTGGTGTAAGTTCAATTGTGTTTCAAGCGTATCCAGAGTTTATGAAAGGGTTGGAAAATCTTTGAGAACATGTAGTTGCAAGCTTCCTTTCATGAAATTGGAACTGTTCCAAATGTGTTTGCAGAAACAAACTTTGCTGTCGCTAATGTGGATAATTACTTTGTTTTGACGAAAATTGTCACCACTCGTCTGAAACCGACCATTGAGAATCCAAATTTAATTGAGACCAGATGGGTAAGTGAACGATTTGAAATCAATCACAATCACATGGAAAACATTTGAACTCTCTCTACCATTAATTATGATCGAATTAATTAAGGAATCCACTCTATCATTGGTGGAATTAACACAACGAGACAAAAACACAGTTGTCATTTCATTTACATACAACACGTTGACAGAACAACACGTTGAAGAAATGTACACCACATCCCTCGAAGGATTATTAGGAGAAATTGCTGGTATTTTAGGAATCATGATGGTAAGTGGATGCAGAGTTGTTAACGACATTCTGATGACATATTTTGTGACAATAGGGAATTGATATTTTGAAAATGTTGCGAGGATGTCTTCAAGTCCCATATTCCTTCAAACACAAATCCGCACGAGGTGTTTGGGAAGTTTTCAATTAATTGAGAATGGTTTTCTTTGGAAAACATTAGTCAACTAATGTTTTCACAAACGCAAAAACTGACCGAATTCGAAATGACTTGGCAAATATTTGAAATTTCGTGTTTTAAAACAAAATTAAAAAAATGTTGCAACAACAACAATTACAACAAAAAGAGGAAGGACATTCCTTCTCATCGTCTTCGTCGTCATCTCCGTCGCCGTCTTGTTCTTCATTCTCTCCTCCACTCTCTCCAATCGGAGGAGAAAGAAATGATGAGCTGAGTAACAACGGTGAGGAAGAGAAAAATCGTTCCAAAGACTTTTTGGAAGAAACAACAACAGTAGTGCCTTTAATCCATACGACCTCTTCCTCATCCTCATCCTCCGAACAAGTCGTTGAAGAAATACCAATCCAATCCGTTCTCTCTCCGTTGTTACTGTCCAGTAAGGATCCTGTGGATGATCAAGAAGAGGATCATCATCAAGAGGCTTCTTCATTCTCGGAGGAGACTGAAGATGATGGCTCATCAATATCTTCTTCAGATCAACATCTTCCAAACAATAATCATGACAATTTAAATCATGGTGAAACGGGTCAGTCTTCGACATTGCAGCCTTCTTCTTCTGTTGCATCATCGTCATCCGAACACTCTCAACCATCCTCCTCCTCCTCTCTGACTGATCCATCAAGTACGAATACAAGTACCTCTTCTCAATCCTCTCAGCAACAACAACAACAACCACCAAAAGTACCTCCCTTAGATCCCAGAATTGATATTGATAGTGTGTTACGGAATACACTAGCATTACCCTATGTTCTTTATCCTCCTTGCTTATTTTCTCATTTGACATGTGGCCCCAAGAATATTCCTCTTTTTGCGTACTTGTTGACAAGTGAATATCCATGGAACTGTCCTGCTCATAATTTTTCTAGCAAACATGACTCGGAAAGTCACAAGTATGATGAGGAAAGAGAACAGTATATTATTGGAAGAATTCAATTTTTAACAAGAGCTTTGGATGCACAATGGGAGTATCAAATGAAAATTCATAGTCGAGTGGACAAGCTCCAGAAAAAGGTTCAACGAACTCAAATGGAAAATGTGTTTCTTCAGTCAATCAAGCCTTTTTGTGAAAAGAGGATGAAGGAAGTTCAATTATATTTAACCAAAATTATTTCGAATTATATAGACGGAGTTTACGAATATAATGATGGTTCCATGTATGCAGATTTGAAACTAACGATGAATACTATCAAAACAAAACTATCTTCTTCAACGCTGACATCCACTACAATGATTAAAGCGGCACAAATGATGCAATTAATGCTGGGATTGGAGGATGTCAGCGAAAAACAGACCTCAATTATTGAAGAGACATCCGGCTCCAAACAGCCCAAACCTAATGAAAATACTTCTCCTTATGCAGTTTACTGCAGAGAGCTTGATGTTCGAAGAGAAGAAATGAAATTCTCCTATGCGAATAATCCACACGCAAGAAATGTCGTCGAGGCACGATGTGAAAAATTAGATGAATTTTATTCTTCAAAATATGAATTAGGAAAAGGAGTATTGTGCGGAGATATTTTTGTGACAAAGGCAGAATCAGTGATGGTATATGTTGGAGGGATTAATGGCAAGCTGAAATTTACAAAAGTGCCCGAGTCGAAAAATGCCAATAACTATTGTATAGATATTAAGAAAAACACAGTACTAGTGACTTCTCCAAAATGCCTACAAAGTTACAAAATTAACACAAATCCTCAATTAGAAACATCGTTTTCCAAAGAGTTTACGATTAATGCATCCAATGACAACATGACATTTGGACCTGTTACAACTCTGGATGGTTTAGTTGCTGTTGCTGATGGCTCACAAAATGTTGTCTATTGCTACAGCCCCTATACCAAGAAACCTTCGCACGGGTTTAAGCTTCCTGTTTATGAAAACAACAGAAGCATTTACATGATGAAATTTCATCCAATGACTCGAACATTATTTACCGCATCATCCAATGTGATATTTTCAGTCTTTATGGAGAATCGCTTCTACGATGTGCCCTTTGTAGGTTTTGGAAGCACTGTCACGGACTTTTGTTTTGATCCAACCTCGGCATCAGTACTACTCGCAAGCTGTGCCGATCGAAATGTTTATTTATTTGACTATAGACAACAAGTTTCACCAATATTGAAATTGCAAGGACATGCAGATAGAGTGGAAGCATGTGACTTTTCGCTTGTGGGAGGAGTACCATTTGTTTGGAGTGCAGGATACGACGAGTCCATTCGTTGCTGGGATTTGAGAATGCAAGCGCCTCTATATGAGCTCTCGACAGGTAATGGTCGACCTCTATCGATTCATTGGCATGACTCTTCCTCCACATTGTTATGTAATGCTGCATTTGATCATTGCAACAGCGAGGAATGGCCAGAGACTGCCATACACAATCGAAAACACTTTTCAAGGAAATTTAGTATCACATCATCTGCCATTATTAGGTATCAATTTAAGGATTCAATTCCTTTCAATGCCAGTGCTCATTCTTCAGCACGATCTCCAGTGCTTGGTGGATCTTCATCCGTTTCTTCCAACAATAATCACTACAACAATAACCATTCAACACATTCTTCCTCAAAGAAGAGTTCCCAAAAATCAAAGCGAAGAAAATAATTCAGCAGTGTATATTCTGATGAATGACCCTCTCAAGGATCAAACCTTAACTCCGATGAAGATCAATATTTATTATAATTGGATTTACTTTTCGAAAGTGCATCTCAAGTGCAAAGCAAGTGCATTTCTCATCACATTTTCACACACAAAAAAATGCTCCAAAAACAAACTACAAAAGCCAAGAAAGTTCTCACATTGGAAAAGATCAGACCGACCTATCAGTATGAAATTCCCGATCGTTCCATCTTCTCCACAGTTTCTGATTTACAAACTAATACACGCTTTGCGAGACATACAGCTTTGTGTTACATTCCTCCAACATCAATATGGGAACCAATTCAAGAAATTCGACAAGTAATGGATAAAGGATTTACCAGATGGCCACCACACATCAATTTATTGTTTCCATTTATTCCCGAGGGATGCTTTGATGCTGCTGCAACTCTGTTGAAAAAAGAATTGGCAAATTTTGAGCCTTTTGAATGTACCTTTCATGATATTAATTGTTTCCGAAAAGGTTCTTCAGTATTGTGGCTAGATCAAGACGAACATGCTGTGAAGCAAGTTGTTGAGTTGCAGAAACGAGTGGCTGCATTATTTCCCTATTGTGATGAGAAAAAGAATGAAAAGGGTGAATTTATTCCTCATTTAACAATAGGATACACTTCACAAAATATTGTGGATAAGACAATGTCAGAATTGAAACAACAATGGAAATCGGTGACTGTTCCTGTTGGAGAAATTTGTATGATTTTCAGACCAGATGTCGACACAAGTTTTACCACGATTCACAAAATTCCATTAGGAAAAGAATAATTGTCACAAGAGACAGAACTATCATTGTGATACACGAATGACACATTCCGAGAATAAAGCATTCTGGTTTGACTGCAAAAAAGCACCAATTAGATTGAAGACTTTTCGAAATTGAAAGCTCGCAAAAAAATGGCATCAACATCGCTATCTCAAGACATTCTTTTTCACATCTTTATATCCTTCTGTACTCCGGATCAGTATTTACAGAATTTAATGCTTGTCTGTAAACATTGGTATCGGGTAACCACTTTGGAAATGTTTTGGATGAACGTTCTGAAACGCGAAGTACAACAAGAAATGGAACAGTATTTGGAAAAGGGGAATGATGATGATGGAAAACACGAAAAATCATCTGTTATGAAACACGATCCACGTTACTTTGAACATTCGCGATTTACACGATTGCTGTACAAGCCTAGATTTTTCAATCGGGATCGAAAACGATATTTGCAATATTTAGAAAAAACTTTTCAGATGTTTATTCTACAACAAAAGCCTTTCGAGAAGAGACGATTAAATAACCATGATATTTATGGAAATACTTACAAAGAGGCTACCATAAGGTTTTTCATTCCAAGAAAGTAATGCTGCTTTGGATATAATGGTGACCATTGATATGAGCTTGCTTCAGAAAAAGACCACAACAACTAACTCCAAAACCTTTCTTGAACGATTAGAAATGGAAATACGAGAATGTCCATCAAACACTCGATGGATTGACTCCAAGATATTGATACGCTTGTCCAGACCTTGCACGAACTATGAAGAACTTCAAAAGCATCTGGTCAGAATGATCAAACAAGCACGACGAAGAGATTTTTTCCCTGTCATGATAAGTCCACATATTGTTGAGATTTATCAAAATATTGCGACAATGACACCTAACGGATGGCTTAAATTCTTTCTTTGTGAAATAGGGATCGCCAATTGGAGATACTTTAATGAAAACTTATTCACACCCCAACTATTTTCATTACCTATGTATGATGAAGCTAGTTCAACAGAAAAACTTACACAAAAGTATTTGGAATTCTACCGCATGGTTAAAAAGGACATTGGATTAACATTATCGAGCTACAAAAATTTACACCCTTTGGTTGTTAATCAGAATCTAGACGCTTTTGAGATACTCAAGTTTCTGATTGATGAATGTGGAGCTGATCCAAAATGTGACAGCTCACTCTTGAAAAAATGCCTTATGGGCCAGTGTTTTTGGTAAGAAAACTAGAGAAATATTATTTCTATTGGAAAGAGGAGCATCACTGAATGATGGCTATATAGAGTCCAGAAAACAAGTACTATACTCATTAGGTTCATCTCATTATTATTATTATCAATTGTATAATACTCCAATGACGACTGTTTTAGACCTTTTTTATGCTCCAGAAAGTGAATATCTCTCAACTATTCATGTTATTATGGAAAAAACTGGATGTAAATTGACTATATTAAGACCGTTCTTGGTAGGAGTTTCGCAATTTGGAAAGTTCAGTTTGGAGGGATTGAAAACAGTTCTGACCACAATCCCAAAAGAATGTAACTTTAAAATTGACAAGTCCTATTCGGAGGAGCTTGGAAAAATATTTTGGAATTGGACAGGTAAAGCGATAAAGCAAGAGAAGCACACGACATTTCAAAGTTTCTACGCTTTATCGAATCCACTTTTCCAGACGTGGTTATTGCATAAATATGAATGTGAACAATTTTAACTGTTGACCTTGAGTATCGAATAGTGAACTTAATGTCTACGCAAAGTTTTCTGCGAAGTGGTCCATGATGGCTGATAAATAAAATCTGATCTCAAACACAAATATCCCTTCTCGACAGCAAATACTGCATTTCTTAAGGTTAAATCTTTCATGTGTGGGAGTGGGACTCCTTTCATGCCTGCTACGTTTGCTGCTGGCACGACCACATATTTCAAAGCAGCCTCCATAGCGAATGACAAGAATTGAACTGAAAATGATCCTACTTTGGAATATGCCAAATCAATGGAGGCATTCTTGTAGGTGAACACAAATGAAATATTGTTTTGGCCGAGTGATGGCATCACATCCAGCTTGATGTTCATATCCAACGCAAAAGCGTTGACAATGTTTTGATTTCTTTGAATAATTTGGAAGATGGCTTGGGCATTAGCATTCATTTCAATTCCAATAGATGGATCCAATGTCAACACTGGGGACATTCCATTCGTAATTGCAATCTGAATTCCACAGTTACTACAAATGGAATAAACCCCAGGAATTAATGATTGATAGCTACTTGTGTTAAAAACCCAATCAAATGTTTCTGGAATATGTTTTCGTGTAATTAAAGTATTTAAAATTCCTGCTTGACTACTTGCACAACTTGCTGAATTTAACACAAATTCATTAAGAAAAACTTCGATCATTTTGTCACTTCCCAAGCTGTCGCTCATTGGAGTTGGTTCATTTGAGTAAATGGCTTTGCCTGGAATATAAAACAGGCCAGCAGTTCCAATGGACATATGGACAGATGCCAAGAAATCCAAACTTCTCAATGAATAATCTACAACTATTCCATGACCTACGTCATGTTGCAAAGAAATTGTATCCAACGCTTTTGCAAGTGCAGTATTCACTGAACGAGTAACATCTGCATCTACTTGTTTGATAATATCATTTTCGATGGAATGTCTAAAATTCTTAATGAAAAAATTATAGAGCCAACTAGCACCGCCGTGCATTTTCAAGTTAAACTCAGAAAATGACGCTTGTACGTTGGTGACTTGTGCCATACAGTGCGTAGCATCGACAATGGAAACTTTCACCCCAATCGATAGTGAAACTGTGAATGAATCATCAGATGATATGAAAACCGTCCAATCAACATTAACAATCAACTTAAAAGTACATTTTCAAAAGAACATACTTGTGATATCAGCATCCACAGATCCATGATCTGAAATATGAGGCCAATGATGTTCTCGATATTGCCAATCCTTCAATATGATATTTCAAACCCATTCACCATCAATAATGATCAATAATCATCATCACGACTCAATAAACTTACAGCTTGCATATGTGTATGTACTACAGGAATATTCAACACCAAACTCTGATCCGATCCAATCACCACATTCGGAGTTTGCAAACTCAATTGACTCACTTGAATATTCTTCACTTCAAATTGAACATGCCCAATCGGAGTATCCACATCTTGATTAATATCTGGAATATTCAAATGTTGGCTCAATTCATGTTGAATTTTAGGCATGAGTTGTTGAAACATGTAATTGAGAGAACGTTGTTGAAGAGTAAAGATAATTCCGGGAGGTGGAAGAGATGAGGAGGAACTTGACATGACCGGGATTGGCTTGTGGTTGAATTTTGGAACGTTAGAAAGTCCATGAATACGGATGGCAAGAGCAGAGGAGGATGAAAAGGCTATGATCAGAGCCATGATGATCATGAAGACCGCCAAGAATGGCAATTTTAATCTTGACATTTTTTAATCCAAGGATCCTTTTTCGTTTTTGTGATTTCACAGATTCATTACTTTGTTCACTATCTCAGCATTTATCCTTCAGATCTGTTGTTAAATGGTCCTCTTCTTGGTTTTACTCTCTCAATTTCATGGCAATTTTGTGAATTTCTTCATTCACTTTAGGACCAAGCATGTTCAAACTTTGATCAATGAGTTTGCAGACAAAATCATCGAGTTCATCTTCATGGAGATCCAATCGAAAATTGTTTTGAATGGTCATTACGTTTTTCAAATTAAATTGTTTGAGAGGGTTGTGAATGACATGTGGCACGTTGTTTCCACTCGTACTTGATGAGAGACCTAATTTATCAATTCTTGTAATACTTCCTTGTTCCTTAATGGTCATATTTGTGGTGGAAATCCATAACAACATGAAAATGATTAAGGTTGCATATTTTCGCAAAACCTTGAAGGTTTGACAGCAATACATTCTAAAGGAGGCTAAATGTTCTTCTGAAAAATCAGCAACCATTTCTCGTGAGATACGCATGGGTGGTGTTCCAAGATAAGGTTTTGGATCTTCTCCAAGAACAAATCCAAAATCAATGTGAAATAATTCTCCACTCTCTTTCAATAATAAATTATCTAAATGTCTGTCTCCAATAGCGAGAAGATAGGTCAGGATGGAATATCCAGCCAAACTTCTAATGTATCTGTGAACTTTTTCATCAAATAATAGAGTATTGACGTCACCCACAGGGCTTGGATGATATTCAATTAGTTGTGTCTCTGAATCATCTGGTTTCTCAAGGAATGTGTAAAAATCTACAGAATTTGTGTTTTGACTTGGGATCGAATCTTTTTGCTTTTTTAAGGATGTGTCTCGCAAAAAGTTAAAGATCGTCTTGTACTTGGCTAAAATCGCGCTGACTGCATTGGATTGGCTCACCATCTCTACACATCCTGAATTCGTTGGACTTTGACCTGTTGAAACACAGTGATAGGTTATAATTTCTAGATTGATTCCGTTTTGTTTTAGAATTCTATTCATGAGTGAGAATAGATTCAAAATATATTCGTCTTGTCTCAAATCGTCTCCCTGCTTAAAAATTAATTTAAATTCAGCAGCATTCTCGTTTGAGAGAGTTCGAAGTGAGAGAGGAAAACAAACAGGCTCTTGTGCAGATTTAAAAATGTATCCATCATCAGGAACAAATCCTGAAATTTGAATGGCATCATTAATGTTGGAAAAGTGCTCTTCAATCGCTAAACATGGTATGGTATCAACTGGAAATACTTCATTGTTCCACTCATGAAAATCTTTTTCTTTTTCAACAAGAAAATCTATGAATTTTAGCTTGGACTCTTCGGAGACAAGTTTGGCAACATCTTGTATTTCTTTGACAAATCGAGGAGAAAGGGTTTTGTCCACTTGTATCGTCTCTACAGATTGACAGTTGGAAATAAACTCATCAATATTGCTCATGGATATGTTATGCAAATTCAGTAGATATGGTAACTTTTGAGCTGCTAGAAGTGACTTCAAATGTTGTATCTTTTGAGGTCTCGATACTCCTAGTTCTTTTCCGAGGCGGAATTTGATATATTCTCCAATTACCAACATGTTATCGACTAACTTTTGTTGCCGAATAAATTGATTTAAATTATACTTTCCTTCCGATGAGCTGTTACATTTCTGTATCATTTTGAAATGTAATTGTTTGTAGACTTGATTGGCTTTGATATTTAAGGTTTTTTCTGTGCTGAAAATTGTACTAGAATTTAGCATACTGGTCAGCATCCAGTTCAATTTGTTAAATATAAAGTCAGATTTCTCACATGCCTCTAACAAAAATTCTGACAAATATTTGCTAAATTTCGTGGAACCCAAGCTGTAAAATAGCTGAGGTAAGAATAGTTCAATTTCTGTCAGGGATCTGCGTTTTAGAATCTCAGTAGCAAAAATTTGTACGCTCTCTAAATCTACCTTTGAGGAAATGATTGTTTCATACAATAAAAATAGTACATGAACTGTTGTCACTTTGTGTAGTGGGGAAAATTGATTCACAGGATTGTCTTTAAGATGTTTGATAATCAGCTCCAAAATTTCCTCTCCTGTTTTGTAGTCCCCTTTCCAATCAACTGAACGCAACAGCATTAGTAAGAATTTTGGTTCTTTACATAGAATGCGTCTATACTTGAAGAGCACATAGGTTTGATTTGGCGTGATAGTTTGACTTGTAGATGATATTAATGGTGGAAATGGCGCAGTGATAAGCTCTAGCAATGTGTTAATCTCATTTTCTGTTTCTTCAAGCTGATCTTCCATCTCTCTTTCTTGATTCACCAAATTGTATAACATATGATCCTCACAAAATGCATACATATATGTTGGATCGTCATTAATTTGAGCAGTCTTATTTTTCACTCTGGGAAATGTTTGCTTAATAATTTGATCGTCCAAAAATTCTTGCAAAAAGTTTAGAGCCTGATTTCTGACTGCCTCTGGTTCAATTCCAGTGATAGAAGCAGCTAAAGATTCTCTAGTGACCTGATCTCCTACGTTGGTAATCGTTTTATGTCTCGATTTTACCACTTTTTTAACGATGACATTGGACAAAATAGTCACTGCCTCTTGTCCATTGAATGTTAAATTGTCTTGATCCTTTGATTTCTTATTCGAGACAGATGCTGTGCTAAATGTCTTGTTTCTACACAAGAATGTGATGAATGATCGTAATAGTTTGAACTTTTTCTGAAATTTTGGATCCATCAACTTTAAATGTTTGTTGAGAATATCTTTTTGCTGTGTTGTTGACAAGCTCTTAGTAATTTCATTCAAAATTTCGTCGCAAAATTGATTAATGTGATTACTCATTTTGTTCTGATTTATATCAATTGCTGTCAAGCTGTTCGCCAAACTGCTTATGGCTGTAGTGGATACCGTTGAATATAGTAGAGTATTTTTGAATTTTTTCGATAGCATGTCAATATTATTAATTTTGGAAATAACTTTTTGATTGTCGTTATCAAAGTCAATGCTTCCATTATTGTTGGATGTTTTTGGTGTTTGTTCTTCCTCAAGTTTTTGGTCTTCTTTTGTAGGAGGTTTAAAAAGAGGCAATGATATGAAGTTGTCAGCAAATTCAAGTAAGAAGCTATATTTAGCAAAGTCAGCCGTAACAATATTCTTCTTCCTCCTAGGTGGAGGAATCACTTTGGGAGCATGGTCATTATGGTTTGTTCCCACAGCAGAGAAATATCCAGAAAGCACTTTTTCTCTACGAAAGGTTTTATCCACAATCTTGATCTTTTCTGGTTTTGTGCTCGTCATTTTTGTTTGTTCTGGGTTCAAAATGTGCATTATTAAAAAGTTGAAAGCAATAAATGATCAACGAACCTTTCAGACTGTTGGCTGTTTCAACGAAGGATTTTAACTTATCCTGACCAACTTCAATAGTTGCTCGAACTGAAGAGCCTAAAGTTGTTACTACCTTCTCTGTTTTGTCTACAATTTTAGTTTCAATGTTTTCTTTCTTCTTTTCAAAAGTTTCAATAACAGAACTCAGTTTTTCATATAAAATTTGCTTCTGTGGAGTAGCCTTTTGTAAATGTTCATTCACGACTTCAGAGTCATCTTCAAAAACTAATGGAGTATTCAACTTTGATGAGAACTCCAGTTGTTTTGATTGGCTTGATATTGGGATTGTTGTCATTGCAGGTGAAATATTTTCTGAGGACTGAATTGATATTTTCATGTTTTGTGTAGCCAATTCATCAATCTTCATCAACGAAAATAACACTTGGACCATATCTTTTTTAACGGATGTAGTGATGTTGTCAGAACCAGTATTCAATTGTTGCATAATTATATCAAAATTTTTCTTAATACTGTGATAGAGAATCGAGAAATTTTTTCTGTTTTCTAAATGACTATAAAGCTCAGTACGATGTCGATTGAGCTCTTCAATGATGAAAAATCTGTTTTGCTTAATGAAGGTTCTCTTCGAATTTAAATTAATTACACACCAACTGGTAAGAACTTCGTAAAATGTTTCAAGAGTCATCCATTTCACAACACTTGCCAGGGAAATAAATTTAGTATCTCCAATAATGTCAAAAATATAATTTCTCAAAAATCTTTCAATGGCAAGAGCTTCTTGAGCGTCACCTCCTACATTTGAAGAATTGTTATGACTGCTTTCTGAATTTTTTGAATTTTCCATGGTAACATCTTCATTGGACGACAAAATTGGTGAAGAAGTGAATGTTGTTGCTTTTCTATGATGGGTTTTTGGGCTGCTGGAAAGCTTCTTGAAAGAAGAAGAGGAAGAAGGTGGTGTGGAATATTTGCTATCGTCTTTCGTGATATTGTCACTCCTATTAGTAGGAGTAGAAGGAAGAGATTTGGTGGGTAACTTAGCAACACTAACGCTTTGGTCTTCGTTGCTTTGTTTAGGCGACAGCTTGACTGCGTTTTGGTTTGAAGCAGAAGAAAATGAATTTTGCGAAAAATTTCGATTCGAATAAATAGTTGGTGATGAATGATGGGAGGGAGTTGGAGTTTTGGATGAAATTATTGAACTGGGTGGTTTTGTGACATCACTTACGACTTGAGGTAATGAGTCACCGGCAAAAATGTTTTGTGTTGTGATGCTATTTACTCCATAGGGCTGAAAGAGAGGAGGAATAATAATGGATGGATTGTTTGAAGTAGTATTAGTGGTTGTCTTATTTAGGACAGTATTAGTTGATGTCAAATTGGGTTGAAGAGTAGAATTTTGAGAAGTAGTAACAGAATATGATGTTGCTGGAGTGGAAATGGTTGGATTTCTTGTGACGGTGGAGGGTAATGGTCGCACTGATGGTCTTCGTTTGTTCGTGTCTTCAGCCCACGTGTTTGTATTGATTGTCTGCTGTGGCTGATTGAATGATTTAGGTTGATGATGTTGTTGTAATAATGAAGTAGTGGGAGTAGGGGGAAGATTTCTTGAAGTAGTGTTAGGCAAAGACAAGGTGTTTTTGATGGTTGCCGTGTTGGTACTAGAAGATGGTAATACTGGAGATGGATTTGATAATAATAAATTATTTGTTAAATTGTTTGCAATGGTGTTGATCGAATGATGGGTTTTTAAAGAATCACTGCTCATGCTCGGTTGATGATTTTTGGAATTGGTCACGACGTAAGCATCCGAAGAAGAGGAGGAAATATCCAATTCTTTACTATTATCCTTTGATAATGTTGATGATGATGATGAATTAATATTGGTCGTAAAGTTCGGTGATAATGCGCTTGAGCTCACTGATTTGTGAATATTCGCTCGATTCACCATTAACAAGGGTTTAGAATTCGTTTGTTGTTGCTGCTCGTTCATCCATGTGGAAGATATGACCACTCCCGAATCATGATCTTGGTGAGAGCTCGTGGAGCTAACAGAAGCTATAGTGGAAGAATTTGTGTATGATGAAGAAGCGATCCCCAACTCCGACGAAGAAGATTCAACACCAACAATCGCCGAGTTCTTTTGCTGTTGTTGGGGCTGTGATTGGGAGGCAGAAGAGACTTTGCGAGAGACGGTCGGAGGTAACGGCATTTTGTTTGGTAATGCGATCTGAAATTGTTCCTTCGCGAATTTGAAACGCTCCAAGCTATTTGGTGGAACACTCGTTGTTTGGATAACTGAAGAGCAGAAGAGAAGCTTCAATTTGTGTGGAATTTATAAGGTTATTCAAAAGCAAACTATATTAGAAAACACTACATTCAAAAATCCAACCCCAACAACTCCACTTGCAAACTTGCTCCGCTTTTAGAGTTGGGAATGGGAAGTGAAAATTGCTGAGGCACTCGATTGATTAATGAGCTGAGAGGAATTGGATTCGTGGCTCCCAGGGACTTGTGTTGATCATTCACTTCATAATCATGTACATTAAAGATAATATATTCGGATTCAGGCAACACATGACTAAAGGTAAATTTTTCAAACCATTTGGGATATTGGATAGAAGTTTTGTAAGTGGTTCGTTGTTCTTGAGGGCCGACGTTAATGATGATAAAGGGGTCTTTGAGTTCATGAAGGTTTTTTTGACATTATTCGTCCATAATTTTTGAAAAAGTCCATTGCCAATATAAACAGACATTCACATAAGTTTTTTGGTAAAAGCTTACCTGGAGTATTTCCATTTTGTATGACCATCTTTTCACCAGCAATCACATGCACCATCAAAGTGGGAATTCGAACTCTTGGAATGACAGGTGCCCCCAATCCAAAATCCAAAGCTAAAATATTCACAATAAGTTCTCCTTTCTTTGCGTTTTGTAACGGCAAAATAAATTGTTGAGGTGTTCGGTAATACAAAGTTTCATTAAGAGCACCGATCGGAAAAGTATTACCCATTGGTTTGTGTTTATAATTGGCTTCATAATCGAATACTTCAAAATAGATGGAATCGAACTGTGGCTCCACAAATCCGAATGCAAAAGTTTCGTGCCATTTCGGGTAAATAGTGCCAACTTTGGTTGTGGTTTTTTGCGACTGTGGTCCTACAAGGATCGTGACAAAAGGATCTATGAAATTGATTGTGTTTATGTCATAACAATGTGTGACAATTATTATTATGAAATGCAAAGACCTACCCGAAGCCCGTCCAAAGTTTTTACCTTCCAAATTGTTTCCAGTTACGACTGTGACGATGAGATTGGGCATGAGAATCGATGATTTTTTTTGTTTAACAGAAAATGCAGCATTACTACGACTTGTAGTCAAGATTTTGCCTCCTGCGCCCCTAGTGAGACATTCAAGAACCCAATTCAATGAAACGGAAAATGAAGTGGAAGAGCTGGATAACTATCTAATCGGTTAAATTTGTCAGTCAAAACAATGAACAAGCAGCTAGTTTTTTATTTTAGAATATAAATTACGGTGCAAATGTCAAGAGAATGTTAAGAAGAAAACAATGAAATGAATTAAAAAGGTATACAAATTTTTCTCAACAACACTAAATCTTTAGAACCATTTCTTTCCAAGTTTCTTTCCGAACTTTCCAAGACCTTTACCGAACTTTCCGAATTTACCAAATTTACCAAATTTACCAATTTTCTTCATGGTCTTTTTCATCTTTTGAAATATAACAATTCATTGTCACAAATATTCCCAATTTCATTATTATTTGTACGCTAATACTTACCTGTTTTCCTGACTTGTGGCTATGATGATAATGAGTCGAAGTAGTGGTATGAACTGGAGTGGTTGTCTGTGGAGGATAATAATAACCACCACCAGTCGTCGATGTCGTAGTGGTTGTTGTTCCACTCATCATCATTGGTTGTTGAGGTGGATATCCATAAGGTTGTTGTTGAGGTGGATAACCACCCATGGTAGGTTGTTGCTGTTGTTGAGGTGGATATCCTCCCATCATCATTGGTTGTTGTGGTGGATAACCCATTGGAGGTTGTTGCTGTTGTGGGGGATAGCCACCAGTCATTGTCATTTGAGGCTGTTGTTGGGGTGGATATCCTCCCATCATCATTTGAGGCTGTTGTTGAGGAGGATAACCCATCATGGGTTGTTGTGGTGGATAACCTATTTGAGGTTGCTGTTGTGGTGGATAACCACCAGTCATCATCATTTGAGGTTGTTGTAATTGTGGTTGCACTCCAAAGTCTTGAGCCAACAATTCAACGACCAAAGTACCTTTCTTTGCATTCATCAATGGAAGAGACAGTTTTTGAGGAACACCTTTTTGGAGAGAGTTGAGAGAGGCTTGAGCACGACCCATGGCATCATGGGACCCAATGAGATCATGATCAAACATTTCAAAGACAACCATATCGGTCTGAGGATTTGAAACGGAGAAGGTAAATCGTTCGTTCCATTTGGGATTGAGTGTTCCGAGTTTTACAGAGGTTTTGAAGGATTGAGATCCCACTCGGACATAGACATAGGGATCTATGAGAGTAGAGAGAAATTGATAATGATGAAAAAGAAGGAAATTGAAAGAATGTGATGAATATTATATTGATATGATGATCATCACACGGTGATTATGTTTAGATTTTCATAGGAATTTTCGATTTTTTGTTGTTGAGTCATCAAACGAATCAGGATATGAACTAATTAGTACAGCCATTAATCCTAAAGAAAGAACGTACCCGATGTACCACCAAAATCTTTGGCTTCCAAATTACTTCCTGAACCAACAGTCACTATCAAGGTTGGCATGGTGTTTGACGAGATTTAGTGGTCTTGTGAGTAGTAGGTCGACAAGTGGCAAGTTGGGTTATTTTTTTGAGAGGTTGTGACTTTTTCGCATTCGAAAATTGAGGGCTCTTTTGGGTTGAATTGGAAAGGGCGAGGAATGTAAAAGAGAAGAACATGCAAAATTGGTGTTTGTTGACATTACAGACCACTACAGAAACACATTGAGTAACATCTTGAGGTTCCAATGAGGGCCCATCAAACCTGCAGTCGTTCCAATCGAGAGGAACAAATTAAGGAGTAAGCATTTCTGGAGGATTTAATCTATTGATGTAAAATTCTTCGCTCAATTTTCATTTTTTTGTAATATTTAAACATCATCATGATGATGGAAGACGACCCCAGTGAATTCAGTAATGAAGAAGAAAATATGGACGATGAGGATTTTTCGCTTAGGATTGCCAATGGGTTTGGGTTTGGGTTTTGGGTTTGGGTTTGGGTTTGGGTTTGGGTTTTGGGTTTGGGTTTGGGTTTGGGTTTGGGTTTGGGTTTGGGTTTGGGTTTGGGTTTGGGTTTGGGTTTGGGTTTGGGTTTGGGTTTGGGTTTGGGTTTGGGTTTGGGTTTGGGTTTGGGTTTGGGTTTGGGTTTGGGTTTGGGTTTGGGTTTGGGTTTGGGTTTGGGTTTGGGTTTGGGTTTGGGTTTGGGTTTGGGTTTGGGTTTGGGTTTGGGTTTGGGTTTGGGTTTGGGTTTGGGTTTGGGTTTGGGTTTGGGTTTGGGTTTGGGTTTGGGTTTGGGTTTGGGTTTGGGTTTGGGTTTGGGTTTGGGTTTGGGTTTGGGTTTGGGTTTGGGTTTGGGTTTGGGTTTGGGTTTGGGTTTGGGTTTGGGTTTGGGTTTGGGTTTGGGTTTGGGTTTGGGTTTGGGTTTGGGTTTGGGTTTGGGTTTGGGTTTGGGTTTGGGTTTGGGTTTGGGTTTGGGTTTGGGTTTGGGTTTGGGTTTGGGTTTGGGTTTGGGTTTGGGTTTGGGTTTGGGTTTGGGTTTGGGTTTGGGTTTGGGTTTGGGTTTGGGTTTGGGTTTGGGTTTGGGTTTGGGTTTGGGTTTGGGTTTGGGTTTGGGTTTGGGTTTGGGTTTGGGTTTGGGTTTGGGTTTGGGTTTGGGTTTGGGTTTGGGTTTGGGTTTGGGTTTGGGTTTGGGTTTGGGTTTGGGTTTGGGTTTGGGTTTGGGTTTGGGTTTGGGTTTGGGTTTGGGTTTGGGTTTGGGTTTGGGTTTGGGTTTGGGTTTGGGTTTGGGTTTGGGTTTGGGTTTGGGTTTGGGTTTGGGTTTGGGTTTGGGTTTGGGTTTGGGTTTGGGTTTGGGTTTGGGTTTGGGTTTGGGTTTGGGTTTGGGTTTGGGTTTGGGTTTGGGTTTGGGTTTGGGTTTGGGTTTGGGTTTGGGTTTGGGTTTGGGTTTGGGTTTGGGTTTGGGTTTGGGTTTGGGTTTGGGTTTGGGTTTGGGTTTGGGTTTGGGTTTGGGTTTGGGTTTGGGTTTGGGTTTGGGTTTGGGTTTGGGTTTGGGTTTGGGTTTGGGTTTGGGTTTGGGTTTGGGTTTGGGTTTGGGGTTTGCGGGTTTGGGTTTGGGTTTGGGTTTGGGTTTGGGTTTGGGTTTGGGTTTGGGTTTGCGGGTTTGGGTTTGGGTTTGGGTTTGGGTTTGGGTTTGGGTTTGGGTTTGGGTTTGGGTTTGGGTTTGGGTTTGGGTTTGGGTTTGGGTTTGGGTTTGGGTTTGGGTTTGCAGTTTTGGGTTTGGGTTTGGGTTTGGGTTTGGAGCAATA